GCTCTTTGAGAGCAGAGGCTGGTGCATCAACACTGTCAAAGACCTTCCACACTTATCAAAATAGGACCTGTGGGACTCCTTCCTGGAGCTGCTTCCAGCAGAGGCCGTGAAGACATTATCCTCAAGTACTGGAGAGCTGCTCCAGTGTTGAGGGGTTTCCACCTTTGTGCTCAATCTCTGACAGTGTCAAGGATGTCGCCTTTTGTGGTGTACGTGTTAGATAGAATTGGGCAGCTGGCTCTTTGCTGTACTGAACCACTGAGACACGGTCTTTGTTGTCATCCACACTGAGTGTCTCTACAACTCTTTGGACAAGTCTTTCACAGCTGGGAAGCCAGTTTAGTACCATCAGATCCATCAACAAGAACACAATATCTTTTCCTGCTGGCTGTCTCTCCACTAGGGAATAAAAAATGTCAGACATGTTCAGGTTCATGTGTCAAATGTTTTCCATGTGAAAGTCAGATGACCAAGCTAACCTGGAATTTAACAATGTACTCTGTATAATCTGGAACAAATGTATTCTCAGAGTGCTGCTGCTTGCCTCAGCTACAATAAATACACTGTCATACTGTTCAATTTGCATCCTACCATGACCTTGGAAAATAAAAATCTGTCATTTCTTACCAGCTTTTGTTGGTGTGATGGCGTGGCCCTGGTTAGCACTGTGTTCATTACAGAGGAGAGCTGTTCCTGGGCACTGGGGAGGTCAGTGAAATCAGACACTGATAGAGCAGAACTAGGGTCATATGATATCTTCTGCAGCTCCCTAGTGTCAGAGTTCCTTGTGCCAATGCCTATCACATAGACACTGCTGTTTGAGAGCAGAGGCTGGGGTATCTACATTGTCAAAAGACCTTCCACCATTTAGCAGGATCAACATTTGTGGAACACCTTGCAGGCGCCTGCTCCCGGAGGAGTTTGTAAAGGCGTTGTCCCTGACGTATTGGAGGGCCGCCGGTGTTGAGGGGTCTGCTCCTCTATGTCTCAGCCTCTGACTGTATCCAAAATATCCTGTCTTGTGGTGTATGTGTTCAGATAGAAATGGATCTCTGCATCTCTGCTGTATTGGACCACAGAGACACGGTCATTGTTAGGTCCTACATTCAATTTCTCCACACTCTTTAACAAATCAAGCATGGCAGGGAAGCCATTCCGTGTGCATCAGAACCATCCAGGAGGAAAACGATATCCTTTTTGGCAGTATCGACTGAGAAAAGACAGGAAGACATCAGGTGAATTTTTTTGCAAATCTACGCTGCTGGGCTAATCATCAAGTGTGCAATTTTTATTTGATTTCTCTTTTTTGTTTTTCAGTCACCTAACGCTGGCTAATTTAATGTAAAATGGGAGAAACTCCCCCTCATTTTGAAATGCGGCTACACAAATTTCACACTTATTTTCCTTGCCTCAGTGTAGGTCAAACAAATCATGTGTCTATCAGGCCTGTAAGGGGCCATGCTTGTTAACATACCAGGAACAGGTGGTGATTCTGGGGAGACCTCGATAACCACAGCCTCCACGGAGGACTGAAGTTGTTGTTGGACATTGGGAAGGTCAGTGAATTCAGACACAGTTAGTGCATAGCTGGGGTCGTGGGATATCTTCTGCAGTTCTTTGCTATCAGCACTCCTGGTTCCAATTGCAAAGGTCAAGACACCAGCTCTTTGAGAGCAGAGGCTGGTGCATCAACACTGTCAAAGACCTTCCACCACTTATCAAAACTAGGACCTGTGGGACTCCTTCCTGGAGCCTGCTTCCAGCAGAGGCCGTGAAGACATTATCCCTCAAGTACTGGAGAGCTGCTCCAGTGTTGAGGGGTCTTCCACTTTGTGCTCAATCCTCTGACAGTGTCAAGGATGTCGCTTTTGTGGTGTACGTGTTCAGATAGAATTGGGCAGCTGGCTCTTTGCTGTACTGAACACTGAGACACGGTCTTTGTTGTCATCCACACTGAGTGTCTCTACAACTCTTTGGACAAAGTCTTTCACAGCTGGGAAGCCAGTTTAGTACATCAGATCCATCAACAAGAACACAATATCTTTTCCTGCTGGCTGTCTCTCCACTAGGGAATAAAAATGTCAGACATGTTCAGGTTCATGTGTCAAATGTTTTCCATGTGAAAGTCAGATGACCAAAGCTAACCTGGAATTTAACAATGTACTCTGTATAATCTGGAACAAATGTATTCTCAGAGTGCTGCTGGCTTGCCTCAGCTACAATAAATACACTGTCATACTGTTCAATTTGCATCCTACCATGACCTTGGAAAATAAAAATCTGTCACTTTCTTACCAGTTTTGTTGGTGTGATGGGCGTGGCCCTGGTTAGCACTGTGTTCATTACAGAGGAGAGCTGTTCCTGGGCACTGGGGAGGTCAGTGAAATCAGACACTGATAGAGCAAACTAGGGTCATATGATATCTTCTGCAGCTCCCTAGTGTCAGAGTTCCTTGTGCCAATGCCTATCACATAGACACCCTGCTGTTTGAGAGCAGAGGCTGGGGTATCTACATTGTCAAAGACCTTCCACCATTTAGCAGGATCAACATTTGTGGAACACCTTGCAGGCGCCTGCTCCCGGAGGAGTTTGTAAAGGCGTTGTCCCTGACGTATTGGAGGGCCGCCCGGTGTTGAGGGGTCTGCCTCCTCTATGTCTCAGCCCTCTGACTGTATCCAAAATATCCTGTCTTGTGGTGTATGTGTTCAGATAGAAATGGATCTCTGCATCTCTGCTGTATTGGACCACAGAGACACGGTCATTGTTAGGTCCTACATTCAATTTCTCCACCACTCTCTTAACAAAATCAAGCATGGCAGGGAAGCCATTCCGTGTGCCATCAGAACCATCCAGGAGGAAAACGATATCTTTTTGGCAGTATCGACTGAGAAAAGACAGGAAGACATCAGGTGAATTTTTTTGCCAAATCTACGCTGCTGGGCTAATCATCAAGTGGTGCAATTTTTTTTGATTTCTCTTTTTTTGTTTTTCAGTCACCTAACGCTGGCTAATTTAATGTAAACAATGGGAGAAAACCTCCCCTCATTTTGAATGCGGCTACACAAATTTCACACTTATTTTCCTTGCCTCAGTGTAGGTCAAACAAATCATGTGTCTATCAGGCCTGTAAGGGGCCATGCTTGTTAACATACCAGGAACAGGTGGTGATTCTGGGGAGACCTCGATAACCACAGCCTCCACGGAGGACTGAAGTTGTTGTTGGACATTGGGAAGGTCAGTGAATTCAGACACAGTTAGTGCATAGCTGGGGTCGTGGGATATCTTCTGCAGTTCTTTGCTATCAGCACTCCTGGTTCCAATTGCAAAGGTCAAGACACCCAGCTCTTTGAGAGCAGAGGCTGGTGCATCAACACTGTCAAAAGACCTTCCACCACTTATCAAAACTAGGACCTGTGGGACTCCTTCCTGGAGCCTGCTTCCAGCAGAGGCCGTGAAGACATTATCCCTCAAGTACTGGAGAGCTGCTCCAGTGTTGAGGGGTCTTCCACCTTTGTGCCTCAATCCTCTGACAGTGTCAAGGATGTCGCTTTTGTGGTGTACGTGTTCAGATAGAATTGGGCAGCTGGCTCTTTGCTGTACTGAACCACTGAGACACGGTCTTTGTTGTCATCCACACTGAGTGTCTCTACAACTCTTTGGACAAAGTCTTTCACAGCTGGGAAGCCAGTTCTAGTACCATCAGATCCATCCAACAAGAACACAATATCTTTTCCTGCTGGCTGTCTCTCCACTAGGGAATAAAAAATGTCAGACATGTTCAGGTTCATGTGTCAAATGTTTTCCATGTGAAAGTCAGATGACCAAAGCTAACCTGGAATTTAACAATGTACTCTGTATAATCTGGAACAAATGTATTCTCAGAGTGCTGCTGGCTTGCCTCAGCTACAATAAATACACTGTCATACTGTTCAATTTGCATCCTACCATGACCTTGGAAAATAAAAATCTGTCACTTTCTTACCAGCTTTTGTTGGTGTGATGGGCGTGGCCCTGGTTAGCACTGTGTTCATTACAGAGGAGAGCTGTTCCTGGGCACTGGGGAGGTCAGTGAAATCAGACACTGATAGAGCAGAACTAGGGTCATATGATATCTTCTGCAGCTCCCTAGTGTCAGAGTTCCTTGTGCCAATGCCTATCACATAGACACCCTGCTGTTTGAGAGCAGAGGCTGGGGTATCTACATTGTCAAAAGACCTTCCACCATTTAGCAGGATCAACATTTGTGGAACACCTTGCAGGCGCCTGCTCCCGGAGGAGTTTGTAAAGGCGTTGTCCCTGACGTATTGGAGGGCCGCCCCGGTGTTGAGGGGTCTGCCTCCTCTATGTCTCAGCCCTCTGACTGTATCCAAAATATCCTGTCTTGTGGTGTATGTGTTCAGATAGAAATGGATCTCTGCATCTCTGCTGTATTGGACCACAGAGACACGGTCATTGTTAGGTCCTACATTCAATTTCTCCACCACTCTCTTAACAAAATCAAGCATGGCAGGGAAGCCATTCCGTGTGCCATCAGAACCATCCAGGAGGAAAACGATATCCTTTTTGGCAGTATCGACTGAGAAAAGACAGGAAGACATCAGGTGAATTTTTTTGCCAAATCTACGCTGCTGGGCTAATCATCAAGTGGTGCAATTTTTATTTGATTTCTCTTTTTTGTTTTTCAGTCACCTAACGCTGGCTAATTTAATGTAAACAATGGGAGAAAACCTCCCCCTCATTTTGAAATGCGGCTACACAAATTTCACACTTATTTTCCTTGCCTCAGTGTAGGTCAAACAAATCATGTATCTATCAGGCCTGTAAGGGGCCATGCTTGTTAACATACCAGGAACAGGTGGTGATTCTGGGGAGACCTCGATAACCACAGCCTCCACGGAGGACTGAAGTTGTTGTTGGACATTGGGAAGGTCAGTGAATTCAGACACAGTTAGTGCATAGCTGGGGTCGTGGGATATCTTCTGCAGTTCTTTGCTATCAGCACTCCTGGTTCCAATTGCAAAGGTCAAGACACCCAGCTCTTTGAGAGCAGAGGCTGGTGCATCAACACTGTCAAAAGACCTTCCACCACTTATCAAAACTAGGACCTGTGGGACTCCTTCCTGGAGCCTGCTTCCAGCAGAGGCCGTGAAGACATTATCCCTCAAGTACTGGAGAGCTGCTCCAGTGTTGAGGGGTCTTCCACCTTTGTGCCTCAATCCTCTGACAGTGTCAAGGATGTCGCCTTTTGTGGTGTACGTGTTCAGATAGAATTGGGCAGCTGGCTCTTTGCTGTACTGAACCACTGAGACACGGTCTTTGTTGTCATCCACACTGAGTGTCTCTACAACTCTTTGGACAAAGTCTTTCACAGCTGGGAAGCCAGTTCTAGTACCATCAGATCCATCCAACAAGAACACAATATCTTTTCCTGCTGGCTGTCTCTCCACTAGGGAATAAAAAATGTCAGACATGTTCAGGTTCATGTGTCAAATGTTTTCCATGTGAAAGTCAGATGACCAAAGCTAACCTGGAATTTAACAATGTACTCTGTATAATCTGGAACAAATGTATTCTCAGAGTGCTGCTGGCTTGCCTCAGCTACAATAAATACACTGTCATACTGTTCAATTTGCATCCTACCATGACCTTGGAAAATAAAAATCTGTCACTTTCTTACCAGCTTTTGTTGGTGTGATGGGCGTGGCCCTGGTTAGCACTGTGTTCATTACAGAGGAGAGCTGTTCCTGGGCACTGGGGAGGTCAGTGAAATCAGACACTGATAGAGCAGAACTAGGGTCATATGATATCTTCTGCAGCTCCCTAGTGTCAGAGTTCCTTGTGCCAATGCCTATCACATAGACACCCTGCTGTTTGAGAGCAGAGGCTGGGGTATCTACATTGTCAAAAGACCTTCCACCATTTAGCAGGATCAACATTTGTGGAACACCTTGCAGGCGCCTGCTCCCGGAGGAGTTTGTAAAGGCGTTGTCCCTGACGTATTGGAGGGCCGCCCCGGTGTTGAGGGGTCTGCCTCCTCTATGTCTCAGCCCTCTGACTGTATCCAAAATATCCTGTCTTGTGGTGTATGTGTTCAGATAGAAATGGATCTCTGCATCTCTGCTGTATTGGACCACAGAGACACGGTCATTGTTAGGTCCTACATTCAATTTCTCCACCACTCTCTTAACAAAATCAAGCATGGCAGGGAAGCCATTCCGTGTGCCATCAGAACCATCCAGGAGGAAAACGATATCCTTTTTGGCAGTATCGACTGAGAAAAGACAGGAAGACATCAGGTGAATTTTTTTGCCAAATCTACGCTGCTGGGCTAATCATCAAGTGGTGCAATTTTTATTTGATTTCTCTTTTTTTGTTTTTCAGTCACCTAACGCTGGCTAATTTAATGTAAACAATGGGAGAAAACCTCCCCCTCATTTTGAATGCGGCTACACAAATTTCACACTTATTTTCCTTGCCTCAGTGTAGGTCAAACAAATCATGTATCTATCAGGCCTGTAAGGGGCCATGCTTGTTAACATACCAGGAACAGGTGGTGATTCTGGGGAGACCTCGATAACCACAGCCTCCACGGAGGACTGAAGTTGTTGTTGGACATTGGGAAGGTCAGTGAATTCAGACACAGTTAGTGCATAGCTGGGGTCGTGGGATATCTTCTGCAGTTCTTTGCTATCAGCACTCCTGGTTCCAATTGCAAAGGTCAAGACACCCAGCTCTTTGAGAGCAGAGGCTGGTGCATCAACACTGTCAAAAGACCTTCCACCACTTATCAAAACTAGGACCTGTGGGACTCCTTCCTGGAGCCTGCTTCCAGCAGAGGCCGTGAAGACATTATCCCTCAAGTACTGGAGAGCTGCTCCAGTGTTGAGGGGTCTTCCACCTTTGTGCCTCAATCCTCTGACAGTGTCAAGGATGTCGCCTTTTGTGGTGTACGTGTTCAGATAGAATTGGGCAGCTGGCTCTTTGCTGTACTGAACCACTGAGACACGGTCTTTGTTGTCATCCACACTGAGTGTCTCTACAACTCTTTGGACAAAGTCTTTCACAGCTGGGAAGCCAGTTCTAGTACCATCAGATCCATCCAACAAGAACACAATATCTTTTCCTGCTGGCTGTCTCTCCACTAGGGAATAAAAAATGTCAGACATGTTCAGGTTCATGTGTCAAATGTTTTCCATGTGAAAGTCAGATGACCAAAGCTAACCTGGAATTTAACAATGTACTCTGTATAATCTGGAACAAATGTATTCTCAGAGTGCTGCTGGCTTGCCTCAGCTACAATAAATACACTGTCATACTGTTCAATTTGCATCCTACCATGACCTTGGAAAATAAAAATCTGTCACTTTCTTACCAGCTTTTGTTGGTGTGATGGGCGTGGCCCTGGTTAGCACTGTGTTCATTACAGAGGAGAGCTGTTCCTGGGCACTGGGGAGGTCAGTGAAATCAGACACTGATAGAGCAGAACTAGGGTCATATGATATCTTCTGCAGCTCCCTAGTGTCAGAGTTCCTTGTGCCAATGCCTATCACATAGACACCCTGCTGTTTGAGAGCAGAGGCTGGGGTATCTACATTGTCAAAAGACCTTCCACCATTTAGCAGGATCAACATTTGTGGAACACCTTGCAGGCGCCTGCTCCCGGAGGAGTTTGTAAAGGCGTTGTCCCTGACGTATTGGAGGGCCGCCCCGGTGTTGAGGGGTCTGCCTCCTCTATGTCTCAGCCCTCTGACTGTATCCAAAATATCCTGTCTTGTGGTGTATGTGTTCAGATAGAAATGGATCTCTGCATCTCTGCTGTATTGGACCACAGAGACACGGTCATTGTTAGGTCCTACATTCAATTTCTCCACCACTCTCTTAACAAAATCAAGCATGGCAGGGAAGCCATTCCGTGTGCCATCAGAACCATCCAGGAGGAAAACGATATCCTTTTTGGCAGTATCGACTGAGAAAAGACAGGAAGACATCAGGTGAATTTTTTTGCCAAATCTACGCTGCTGGGCTAATCATCAAGTGGTGCAATTTTTATTTGATTTCTCTTTTTTGTTTTTCAGTCACCTAACGCTGGCTAATTTAATGTAAACAATGGGAGAAAACCTCCCCCTCATTTTGAAATGCGGCTACACAAATTTCACACTTATTTTCCTTGCCTCAGTGTAGGTCAAACAAATCATGTATCTATCAGGCCTGTAAGGGGCCATGCTTGTTAACATACCAGGAACAGGTGGTGATTCTGGGGAGACCTCGATAACCACAGCCTCCACGGAGGACTGAAGTTGTTGTTGGACATTGGGAAGGTCAGTGAATTCAGACACAGTTAGTGCATAGCTGGGGTCGTGGGATATCTTCTGCAGTTCTTTGCTATCAGCACTCCTGGTTCCAATTGCAAAGGTCAAGACACCCAGCTCTTTGAGAGCAGAGGCTGGTGCATCAACACTGTCAAAAGACCTTCCACCACTTATCAAAACTAGGACCTGTGGGACTCCTTCCTGGAGCCTGCTTCCAGCAGAGGCCGTGAAGACATTATCCCTCAAGTACTGGAGAGCTGCTCCAGTGTTGAGGGGTCTTCCACCTTTGTGCCTCAATCCTCTGACAGTGTCAAGGATGTCGCCTTTTGTGGTGTACGTGTTCAGATAGAATTGGGCAGCTGGCTCTTTGCTGTACTGAACCACTGAGACACGGTCTTTGTTGTCATCCACACTGAGTGTCTCTACAACTCTTTGGACAAAGTCTTTCACAGCTGGGAAGCCAGTTCTAGTACCATCAGATCCATCCAACAAGAACACAATATCTTTTCCTGCTGGCTGTCTCTCCACTAGGGAATAAAAAATGTCAGACATGTTCAGGTTCATGTGTCAAATGTTTTCCATGTGAAAGTCAGATGACCAAAGCTAACCTGGAATTTAACAATGTACTCTGTATAATCTGGAACAAATGTATTCTCAGAGTGCTGCTGGCTTGCCTCAGCTACAATAAATACACTGTCATACTGTTCAATTTGCATCCTACCATGACCTTGGAAAATAAAAATCTGTCACTTTCTTACCAGCTTTTGTTGGTGTGATGGGCGTGGCCCTGGTTAGCACTGTGTTCATTACAGAGGAGAGCTGTTCCTGGGCACTGGGGAGGTCAGTGAAATCAGACACTGATAGAGCAGAACTAGGGTCATATGATATCTTCTGCAGCTCCCTAGTGTCAGAGTTCCTTGTGCCAATGCCTATCACATAGACACCCTGCTGTTTGAGAGCAGAGGCTGGGGTATCTACATTGTCAAAAGACCTTCCACCATTTAGCAGGATCAACATTTGTGGAACACCTTGCAGGCGCCTGCTCCCGGAGGAGTTTGTAAAGGCGTTGTCCCTGACGTATTGGAGGGCCGCCCGGTGTTGAGGGGTCTGCCTCCTCTATGTCTCAGCCCTCTGACTGTATCCAAAATATCCTGTCTTGTGGTGTATGTGTTCAGATAGAAATGGATCTCTGCATCTCTGCTGTATTGGACCACAGAGACACGGTCATTGTTAGGTCCTACATTCAATTTCTCCACCACTCTCTTAACAAAATCAAGCATGGCAGGGAAGCCATTCCGTGTGCCATCAGAACCATCCAGGAGGAAAACGATATCCTTTTTGGCAGTATCGACTGAGAAAAGACAGGAAGACATCAGGTGAATTTTTTTGCCAAATCTACGCTGCTGGGCTAATCATCAAGTGGTGCAATTTTTATTTGATTTCTCTTTTTTGTTTTTCAGTCACCTAACGCTGGCTAATTTAATGTAAACAATGGGAGAAAACCTCCCCTCATTTTGAAATGCGGCTACACAAATTTCACACTTATTTTCCTTGCCTCAGTGTAGGTCAAACAAATCATGTATCTATCAGGCCTGTAAGGGGCCATGCTTGTTAACATACCAGGAACAGGTGGTGATTCTGGGGAGACCTCGATAACCACAGCCTCCACGGAGGACTGAAGTTGTTGTTGGACATTGGGAAGGTCAGTGAATTCAGACACAGTTAGTGCATAGCTGGGGTCGTGGGATATCTTCTGCAGTTCTTTGCTATCAGCACTCCTGGTTCCAATTGCAAAGGTCAAGACACCCAGCTCTTTGAGAGCAGAGGCTGGTGCATCAACACTGTCAAAAGACCTTCCACCACTTATCAAAACTAGGACCTGTGGGACTCCTTCCTGGAGCCTGCTTCCAGCAGAGGCCGTGAAGACATTATCCCTCAAGTACTGGAGAGCTGCTCCAGTGTTGAGGGGTCTTCCACCTTTGTGCCTCAATCCTCTGACAGTGTCAAGGATGTCGCCTTTTGTGGTGTACGTGTTCAGATAGAATTGGGCAGCTGGCTCTTTGCTGTACTGAACCACTGAGACACGGTCTTTGTTGTCATCCACACTGAGTGTCTCTACAACTCTTTGGACAAAGTCTTTCACAGCTGGGAAGCCAGTTCTAGTACCATCAGATCCATCCAACAAGAACACAATATCTTTTCCTGCTGGCTGTCTCTCCACTAGGGAATAAAAAATGTCAGACATGTTCAGGTTCATGTGTCAAATGTTTTCCATGTGAAAGTCAGATGACCAAAGCTAACCTGGAATTTAACAATGTACTCTGTATAATCTGGAACAAATGTATTCTCAGAGTGCTGCTGGCTTGCCTCAGCTACAATAAATACACTGTCATACTGTTCAATTTGCATCCTACCATGACCTTGGAAAATAAAAATCTGTCACTTTCTTACCAGCTTTTGTTGGTGTGATGGGCGTGGCCCTGGTTAGCACTGTGTTCATTACAGAGGAGAGCTGTTCCTGGGCACTGGGGAGGTCAGTGAAATCAGACACTGATAGAGCAGAACTAGGGTCATATGATATCTTCTGCAGCTCCCTAGTGTCAGAGTTCCTTGTGCCAATGCCTATCACATAGACACCCTGCTGTTTGAGAGCAGAGGCTGGGTATCTACATTGTCAAAAGACCTTCCACCATTTAGCAGGATCAACATTTGTGGAACACCTTGCAGGCGCCTGCTCCCGGAGGAGTTTGTAAAGGCGTTGTCCCTGACGTATTGGAGGGCCGCCCCGGTGTTGAGGGTCTGCCTCCTCTATGTCTCAGCCCTCTGACTGTATCCAAAATATCCTGTCTGTGGTGTATGTGTTCAGATAGAAATGGATCTCTGCATCTCTGCTGTATTGGACCACAGAGACACGGTCATTGTTAGGTCCTACATTCAATTTCTCCACCACTCTCTTAACAAAATCAAGCATGGCAGGGAAGCCATTCCGTGTGCCATCAGAACCATCCAGGAGGAAAACGATATCCTTTTTGGCAGTATCGACTGAGAAAAGACAGGAAGACATCAGGTGAATTTTTTTGCCAAATCTACGCTGCTGGGCTAATCATCAAGTGGTGCAATTTTTATTTGATTTCTCTTTTTTTGTTTTTTCAGTCACCTAACGCTGGCTAATTTAATGTAAACAATGGGAGAAAACCTCCCCTCATTTTGAATGCGGCTACACAAATTTCACACTTATTTTCCTTGCCTCAGTGTAGGTCAAACAAATCATGTGTCTATCAGGCCTGTAAGGGGCCATGCTTGTTAACATACCAGGAACAGGTGGTGATTCTGGGGAGACCTCGATAACCACAGCCTCCACGGAGGACTGAAGTTGTTGGACATTGGGAAGGTCAGTGAATTCAGACACAGTTAGTGCATAGCTGGGTCGTGGGATATCTTCTGCAGTTCTTTGCTATCAGCACTCCTGGTTCCAATTGCAAAGGTCAAGACACCCAGCTCTTTGAGAGCAGAGGCTGGTGCATCAACACTGTCAAAAGACCTTCCACCACTTATCAAAACTAGGACCCTGGGACTCCTTCCTGGAGCCTGCTTCCAGCAGAGGCCGTGAAGACATTATCCCTCAAGTACTGGAGAGCTGCTCCAGTGTTGAGGGTCTTCCACCTTTGTGCCTCAATCCTCTGACAGTGTCAAGGATGTCGCCTTTTGTGGTGTACGTGTTCAGATAGAATTGGGCAGCTGGCTCTTGCTGTACTGAACCACTGAGACACGGTCTTTGTTGTCATCCACACTGAGTGTCTCTACAACTCTTTGGACAAAGTCTTTCACAGCTGGGAAGCCAGTTCTAGTACCATCAGATCCATCCAACAAGAACACAATATCTTTTCCTGCTGCTGTCTCTCCACTAGGGAATAAAAATGTCAGACATGTTCAGGTTCATGTGTCAAATGTTTTCCATGTGAAAGTCAGATGACCAAAGCTAACCTGGAATTTAACAATGTACTCTGTATAATCTGGAACAAATGTATTCTCAGAGTGCTGCTGCTGCTTGCCTCAGCTACAATAAATACACTGTCATACTGTTCAATTTGCATCCTACCATGACCTTGGAAAATAAAAATCTGTCACTTTCTTACCAGCTTGTTGGTGTGATGGGCGTGGCCCTGGTTAGCACTGTGTTCATTACAGAGGAGAGCTGTTCCTGGGCACTGGGAGGTCAGTGAAATCAGACACTGATAGAGCAGAACTAGGGTCATATGATATCTTCTGCAGCTCCCTAGTGTCAGAGTTCCTTGTGCCAATGCCTATCACATAGACACCCTGCTGTTTGAGAGCAGAGGCTGGGGTATCTACATTGTCAAAAGACCTTCCACCATTTAGCAGGATCAACATTTGTGGAACACCTTGCAGGCGCCTGCTCCCGGAGGAGTTTGTAAAGCGTTGTCCCTGACGTATTGGAGGGCCGCCCCGTGTTGAGGGGTCTGCCTCCTCTATGTCTCAGCCCTCTGACTGTATCCAAAATATCCTGTCTTGTGGTGTATGTGTTCAGATAGAAATGGATCTCTGCATCTCTGCTGTATTGGACCACAGAGACACGGTCATTGTTAGGTCCTACATTCAATTTCTCCACCACTCTCTAACAAAATCAAGCATGGGGGAAGCCATTCCGTGTGCCATCAGAACCATCCAGGAGGAAAACGATATCCTTTTTGCAGTATCGACTGAGAAAAGACAGGAAACATCAGGTGAATTTTTTGCCAAATCTACGCTGCTGGGCTAATCATCAAGTGGTGCAATTTTTATTTGATTCTCTTTTTTTGTTTTTCAGTCACCTAACGCTGGCTAATTTAATGTAAACAATGGGAGAAAACCTCCCCCTCATTTTGAATGCGGCTACACAAATTTCACACTTATTTTCCTTGCTCAGTGTAGGTCAAACAAATCAGTGTCTATCAGGCCTGTAAGGGCCATGCTTGTTAACCATACCAGAACAGGTGGTGATTCTGGGAGACCTCGATAACCACAGCCTCCACGGAGGACTGAAGTTGTTGTTGGACATGGGAAGGTCAGTGAATTCAGACACAGTTAGTGCATAGCTGGGGTCGTGGATATCTTCTGCAGTTCTTTGCTATCAGCACTCCTGGTTCCAATTGCAAAGGTCAAGACACCCAGCTCTT